CCGCCCGCGGCGCGCATCCCCACCCCCACGGTCCCCCTCGCGGACACTCACGGTTCTGCTCGGCTAAGGGCAGGTGCGCCGTGGTGAAGGCCAGAAAGGACTCGTTCCCCATGTCCCAGTCCAGCAGTCCCGGGACCTGGCCATGGAGGCTGGCCCAGAAGTCGAGGTGCTGGAGTTTCAGGTCCACGTTTAGGGAGACGAGAGAGAGCCTGGCAGAGAGGCTGGAGACTCCGGGAGAGACTGAGGCTGAGCCCTCGGAGGCACTTCCTCAAATCCCCTCGCTCTGATTGAATTAGGCTGGAGTCCTCAGGTGTGCCGAGTCCGCATTTGACACCCTTGATCTTGGGCCTCCACTGACCCCGCCATTTCCCGCCACCCTACGCTTTCGTTTTGGGGTTTGGGGACCTTGGGGGTCCAGAAGGGAGTTATCCCAGGCCCTCTTCCCCCTCTGTTTGCACCAAGCTCGTATTTTATTCAGTGAATCTGCCTACCATTCAAGAATGATCCTGTGATGGTATTAACAGCTACTTTCTAGAAGTTCGGAAGATTTCGGAGTTTATCTAAGATCGCATCTGTAAGTACATGGTGGAGATAGGATTAAGTGGTGATTTTTATTTTTTTTTCTTTTCTTTTTGAATGGTGATTTTTACATTTTGTTCTTAATAATTTCAAATTTACAGAAAAGCCCAAGAATACTATAAAAAAATTCCGGTATACCTAAATCCAGTTATTAACATTTTATCACATTTTTGCTTTGTTTTTCTCTCCCTCTACATAAGACATACATTATTTTTTTCTGAACTGCTTGAGAATTTGCAGATATTATGACCCTTTACCCATAAATACTTCAGTATGTATTTCCTAAAAACAAGGATACTGGTTTACCCAATCAGAAATGAGAAAATCATCAAAATTTAACATTGATTCAATACTATGTTTAATATACAGGTCCTATTCAAATTTCACCAATTGTCCCGATAATGGCCTTTATATAAATTTGCTTTTTGATCTAGGATCCAATTCAGGATCATGCAGCGCATGTAATTCTCATGTCTCTTTAGTCTCTAATCTGGAGCAGTTTCTCAGACTTTTAAATGTTTCATAACATTGCCTTTTTTTTTTAATTAAAGTATAATCAGTTTACAGCGTGTCAGTTTCTGGTGACACTTTTGAAGAGTTCAGGCTATTTATTTTCTAGAATGTCCCTTAGTTTAGGTTCCTATGATGTTTCTTCGTAATTAGATTATGTGTTTTTGGAGCAAATACAAAGAAATGATGTTTCCTTCTTAGTTCATCACATCAGAGGCCCGTGATGCCAGTTTATCTCCTTATTAATGGCGTTAACTCAATCACTTGGTTTAATGGTATCCATCAGGTTTCTCTATTCTCAAATTACCTTTTTGTTTTCTCTTTTGTAATTAGTAAGCAATTTGTGGGAAGATACTTTGAAGTGACCTAAAATCCTGTTTTTCATGGAGTTTGGACCTGCTAATTCTAGTGTCCATTTGTGATTCCTGCCTAAATCAATCATTACTATGATGGGTGTGAAATGATGGTTTTTAAAAGTTGGCATTCGGTTGTAAGGAAGAGCTTTTCCTTATCTCATGTATGTTTATTGATTCTCAGTATGTATGCAAAGGATTGATTCTTATTTTATAGAGTGGATTGTATTATAATTCAGAACTATCATTGTTTATTTTAATCTTCAAATTGTCCCAGATTTGGCCAGAGGGTGAGGCAGCCTCCTCTGGTTTCTTTGTACATCCTGGGTCTCCCCATCAGAGCCCAACCACCCTGCACGTTGTTGCCTCTTGTCTACTAGACTGGAAACTTTGAGAGTAGTACCTTGTGCATAGGAGACCCTCAATAAATGTTGTTTTAACTATGGTGAAAACAATAGCCCCCTTTTAAAAAGTTTACTAGGACTCTACCTTTAATACCAATAATTATAATAACTTTTCTTTAGGTTTATTTATTTATTTATTTGTTTGTTTTTTTAATAGAGGTGTTGGGGATTGAACCTAGGGCCTTGTGCATGCTAAGCATGTGCTCTGCCACTGAGCTATTCCCTCCCCCTTCAACAATAATAAATTTAATGATAATTTCCTAAGTTATAAAAATAATACATGTTTGATGCAGAAGACTTGGAAGTATAGAAAGCACAAAGAAAAAAACCAGTAAAACAAAAATCATTCTTGGTATCAACCAGAGATGATAATTGACTGCATTCTGATGTATATTCTTCCAGTCTTTTCCCTTATGTTTCATAAAAAATTATTGTAACGCATCTACTCTTTTCAAATTAGTGTGTCATTGAAGAATGTTTATATCATGTAAATCATATATCTGATAAGGGGTTAACATCCAGAATATATAAAGAAATTCCATAGCTCATCAAAAAAACCAAACAACCCAATTTAAAAATGGGCAAAGGACTTAAATAGATGTTTCTCCAGAGAAATACAAATGTCCAAAACCACATGAAAAAAATGTGCTTTTATATCATTAACATTAGAGAAATGCAAATCAAAACCACGATAAGATACTACACGTCCATTGGAATGGCTATTATAAAAATAAACAAACAAAACACAGAAAATAAGGGGGGGTATAGCTCAAGTGGTAGAGTGTGTGCTTAGCATGCACAAGGTCCTGGATTCAATCCCCAGTACCTCCTTTAAAAATAAATAAATAAACCTAATTATCTCCCTCCAACCAAAAAAAAAAAAAAAAATCAGTCATTTAAAAAAAAAAACCCCAGAAAATAACAAGTGTTGACTAGGATGTGGAGAAATTCGAATCCTTGTGAACTGCAGTTGGGGACATAAAATGGTGCAGTCCCACAAAAATTAAATGTAGAATTACCATATGATCTAGCTATCCCACTTCTGGGTATATACCCCAGAGAATTGAAATCAGAGATTTGAACAGTTATTTTTATATCCATGTTCAGAACAGCCTTATCCACAATATATAAAAAGTAGAAAAAAACCCAAATGCCCATCAGTGGGTGAATGGATAAACAAAATGTGGTATACACATACAATGGAATATTATTATTTAGCCTTAAAAAAGAATAAAATTCTGGTACATGCTACAACATGGATGGACCTTGAAAATATTACACTAAGTGAAATAAGCCAGACACAAAAAGACAAATTTTATACAATTCCACTTGTATAAGATACCTAGAATAGTCAGATTTATAGAGACAGAAAGTAGAATGGTGGATACCAAGGGTTAGGGAGGAGGGAATGGGGAGTTATTATCTAATGGGTACAGAATTTCTGTTTTGGGAGGGGGAAGGTATAGTTCAGTGGTAGAGTGTCCGCTTAGCATGCACGAGGTCCGGGTTCAATCCCCAGTACCTCCATTACATACATACATACACTACATACATAAGCCTAGTTACCTGCCCCTTCCCCAAAATAAATAAAAAGAAACTGCCACTTAAAAAAAAAAAGAAACAGGCAGAATTTCTGAGTGGGATGATGAAGTTCTAAAGATAGATAGTGGTGGTCTGTGTACAACAATGTGAATGTACTTAATGCCATTGAGTTATACACTTAAAATGGTTAAAATGATAAATTTCATGCTATTAAAAACTAACATGTAATTTTTAGTTATTGTTGTAGGGGTTAAAATGGCTTATTTTACCACAATTTAAAAAGTGTTTCTATCAGTAATTTGCAGACTTTGCAAACACATTACAATCCCCTGGGGATCTTCAACAAATAGTAATACCTGGTTCCCGCCCCCAGCTCATTGGCTCTGGTGTGCGGGGGGCCTGGGTGCTGGGATTTTTATAAGCCCCCTAAGTGATTCTGACGTACAGCATCTTTGGGCTCCCAATCTCGTGCTCTTCCCACGACACAAGAAGGCTGGGCACCAAATCTCCCTTGGCTGTTGCAGTTAGGGTGGGAAGCATGGCCTGAACCATTCTGTAAAAGGCACGCTCTCCCCTCTCCCCGACCCGCTCTCCTGACTCCAGGCCTTAGCTCAGAAGGTCCACCTAAACTAAGGAGGTTCCCAGTGTTCACCTCCTCTCATCTATCATAGCACTGGTCACAGTTTTATTTAATTTATTTACTTGTTCACAGTTTGAGGAGTCTGTCTCTTCCACCAAATTCCATATAGATTCCATGCAGGAGGAACAATGTCTTTTCACAGTTTAGTCCTGGCACCTCTGGTAGCACCTGGCACATAATAAATGCTCGGTGTCATGGAGTGAATACATACTGTTTTTCTCTTCCATTGCCTCCCTCTTCCGAGCTCCTGGGTTACTCTAGAAAGGGGTCATTAAGACCACTGTTCTAACATCTTCTAACTCTGTGTCATTTTTTATTGTTTTTGCAGAATTTTTGGCCCTTTCCTAGCCTCCTCTTTCTCTTCAGGGGCTTATTAATTGGTTCGTTCATTTATTCAATAGTATTTGTTGAGTATCTGCTGTGTCCCAGGTACTGCAAAGGTACTGTAGGTTCTGTGGAGCAAAGTGGCTGCTCTCAGGGATCAGTCTGGTTGGGGAGGCAATTGAACAATCACATAAACATAATACTAAATAACAGTAATGCTGTGAAAGACAGAATAGGAGAACCCAGCCTAACTGGGGGATGGAGGTCGAGAAGTCTTCCCTGGAGATGCTGGGTTAGCTATGCAGAGTGGAGTAGGGGCAGGGGCAGTCATGAGAGTAGGCTGGGCTTAAGGAATGGTCTGTGCAAAGGCCCCGAGGCAAGAGGGAACACGGGACATTAGAAGGAACATGGTGAGAGCTGAGGGACAGTTTAGGGGAGAGACCCAGGGCTGGCCTTGAAGGTCACCTCAAAGATTTTGGTCTTCTCCCTAAGAGCAAGGCAAAGATCACAGATCCTTAGAAGGAGTATATATTGGAGAGGACACAAGTGAACGAGAGTGACCACTTGTACTCTTTTCCCTCAGTTATCCCACTGCAGCGCTCTTGTCCCCTGGCCCAGGGTTCTTCCACCTCTGCTGTCTCCTCTGAGAGCCCCCCAGCGCCATGTCCTTGTGTGTCACCTTGGTGGCCCTCTGTCTTTTCCTGGTCAGAGCCTCTCTTTCCCCCAGCACTGCCCCTTGCTCTGCCAGCCCCCACGCCACAACAAAGGCCCTCAGGCCTCGGGCCCCACGTGCTGCACCAGCCTCGGCCTCACCACCATCCCCTCCCCTCGGGCCCCTGGTTGGGTGGCCTGCTGTGGAGGGTGCAAAACCCACCACCCACGAGTGGGTCTGAGAACTCTGAGTCCTGGATTCTTACCTTGTGCGGCCCCTTCCTGCCTCCCAAGAAAAGCAACCCTGGGGTTCTGGGGCAGAGAGGGTACTGGAAGCCCCTGTAGCCTGGACATAGATTCTCTGAGTTCACCTCAACGTGGAGCCCACGGAAGAGAAACACACAGCAACTCGGCATCAGACTTTACTGTAGGGACGGAGTTCACCGGGGTGAATTCTTGTTGAGCGGGATGGTTAAAGAGGCAAAATGGGAGGAAAACCAATTCTGACAGGAGTGGGGTTGGGGGAAAATGAGTTCTGGGCCAAAGTGAGGCCTTAGAGGGCAAGGGGAGGGACGGAGGGAAGAAAGGGCTGCAGTGGAATGGGGGCAGGGGCTGGGTTGAGGGGGACATGAAGGCACTGAAGGAGCCAGAGCCTGGTGACCGTGGCCTGGGGGCAGGCAGTCTTTTCAGGAGAGGAGGCAGGAGCAACAGCAGAGCCCCAGGCTGGGGAAATGGACGGTGCCTTGGACTTCCTGGAAGAGCCCACTGCCCAGGGCAGCCCTCCTCACTTCCGGGCGCCCAGTGCCAGGGCAATGATGAAGCCCAGCACCAGCAGGAACATGGCGACAGAGAGCAGCACGGTGATGACCACCATGCCCCCTGTCCGGGCCATTCCCAGCCCGATTGATTCCGCCTTCCTTCCTGTTAGAAGAGAGAGCGGGGAGGCCTTTGTGGGCATGAGGGGCCTCCATCCCACCTGAGGCTCCCAGCCTAGCCCCTCATCCATTCATCCAATCAGCCATCCCTTCATCCATTCATTTATCCAACAAACCAACAAATCATTGGAGGGATCCAGACATCCATCAAATAAACATTTATGAAGCATCTCCTCTGTCAGGCACTGAGGATACAGAAATTAGTCAGACACAATCACTACCCACAAAGTTTAGCAGTGCAGACAGGTGAGTCAACAGCCACTTAAAATGGCCAAGACTCAGAGTGAGGATGGAGGTGAGCAAAGAAGCTAAGGAGCACGGGGAGGGGCCCCTGGGATGGGGCGCAGGGACCGGGGAAGTCTTTGGGGCCTGAGATGTTACTTACGAGGAAGTGTGGACATCGGGATCTCTCTACTGGACTCAGTGGATGCCCCCTTGGTCACTAGGTAGGAAATGCTTTTGTCATGAGATTTGGGAGAGAGGAGAGAATCCACAGTGAGTATCTGGGACTTGGGGAAAGACATAGCCCAGGCCTCCCCCTTCACAGCCACACCTCCCCAAGAAAGGCTCATTCATGACCCCATTAGCTGTGCCCCCAACTCTCTTCCCAATGCTGACCACATCCACCACCATCACCACCAAGGTCAGGACCCAGCTTCTCTCCCAGGAGCCTCTCCCATGTACCCCAGGCCTGGATCTGGTACTTACTAGTATTTGGTTCCTGGCACGAGGTTTGTCACCTGGTATGCACTTAGCCTGGTGACAGTGAAACCAGCCCCACTGTCCACCACGCTCACCAGCTCCCTGCGGCCGCGGCATGGAGGCACCACAAAGCTAGATTTCACCACTGGGAAGAAAATTGGGGGTGAAAGGCAGGGTCGAGTTTCTGGACTCCCCAAGGAAGCAGGGCAGTCTTAAGAGTGTGGATGGCCTGAGAGGGGGGTCGATAGGAAGGCATGAGCGGGAGAAGGGATGCCGGGATGTCTTGGGGGGGGCCTCTGGGGTCTTGGGGATGCCTGGGAGTGGGTAGCAGACCTTTGCTGTCATTTGCTCTCCGGACCATCAGTGTGGCGTTGCCTCCTGTGAGGTGACAGGGGGGCAAGGCAACTAGCAGGCTCTCCGTCAGTGCCGGGGACAGCAGACCAGAGAGGCTTGAGATGTTGAAGTTGGCTGGAGGGCCAGGAGGGAGTTCAGGGGAGGATTATTCCTCGTCCCCCCGTCGAATCTGCCCCAAGCCCTGGGGAGCCCTTTCTGAGGATGAAAAGTCCCTTCTACTCTGCAGTCGGTTTGCAGAATACAGGTCTTTGCCCATCTGACCACCAGGTGGCAGGCTTGGGCTGCAGATGCTGGATTCTCCACCAAGCCGCCAGACCCTGGATGCCAGGAGCGGGCGGCGCCTAGTGCCATCCCTATCCAAAGCCTTGGACCCTTCGCCACACCTCCCTGCCTCCTGGGTCTGGAAGGGGACCTGGATGTGCCCTGGGCCCAGGGACTGATGCCTGCTCACTGCCATCATCAGTCCCCCACCCCCAACTGGCTAGACCCGCTCCTCTTTGAGAACCTTGGGAGGCACAGTGCCTCCTGTCCCGGCTACCCACCCCCTGATCCCAGATCCTCCCCACCCCAGCCAGAGGTGGCAGAGACCTGCAGCCCCAGGGGCCAGGACAGCCAGCAGTATCAGAATCAAGGGCAAGGTCTGGACAGGCAGCAGGGACGCCATAGCTGGGCTGGAGCTCCCTCGGGTGCTGGCAGGCTGGCTTCCTGAGGCAAGTGAGGCCCTGCCCTGGGGGTGTCTGATTTTGTCCTGGGGGTGGGAGGGGCTAGAGGGGAATCCTGTCCAACCTGCCCCGTGGGCCCTATAGCCTCAGGGGAGGCTTCCAGACAGGTTTTTCAGGATGGGGAGCTGGCCTTCAAGCCAAGAATGGGGGGGGCCCTGGCTGGATATTGGTGGCATAGTCAGCTGCCGAGGGGCAGGGTAACTAAGGTGGGGAGTGGAAATGCCCCCCCCTTCTGGGACACCCACGTGTGAGGGCGTGAGTGTTCCTGCCTGCACGTGCGCCTGGAGCACCACTCCCCCTCGGTGGTGGGGCTGCTCCTCAGAAGGCAAGTTCTGAGGTTGCCCTGGTGTGCAAGAAACAGAGAGTAGCCCTGAGGGGCTCCTGAAAGCATCTTGGCAGGGAAAGAACAGGAGAGAAACTGAGAGAAATTGGTGGTAGGGGGTGAGGGCAGCCGAGCCAAGGGTTCCAATGCTTGGTGTCCCCTGAGGCCCTGGCACCACGCTCTGGGAGAGGCCAAGAGGTGTTGGTGTCAGTGCCTCTCCCAGAAGTGCACAGGGCTTCAGATTCCTCTGGAGAGTGGGGCCAAGGATGCCGGGGAAGACTTCCAGAGAGACTGGAGAAGTGGGCAGTGACCTGTCCAGTGGGGGCGGGGGGTGGGCACAGTCAGCCTTGGTCAGCAACCTTTGTTGAACTGTTTGAGAATAAAGAAGAGGAAGAAAAAGAAAGAAAAAGGAGGGAAAAGGGAAAAAAAGTTTTAAAAAAGGAAAAGGAAGAGACCGGTAGGAGAAAATGAAAAAGAGACACCATGTCTCTGCTGGCGCCCCCACCCCTGTGCTCAGTTCAAGACATGAAGGAGGAGAGAAGGGATGAGGCGAGATCACCCACCCGGGGTCCCCGGCATTGGCTTTGCTGGCTCGCTGCACACACTCACCCTCAGCCCTCCTGGGCTGTAGATGTTACCGGCTTCCTTTTGTAGCTGTGGAAACTGAGACTCAGAGAGGTACAGCCACCTGTGGAAAGTGGAATACTTTGTCAGGAGAGGTCGCAGCCCTCTACAGAGAGTCTTATGTGTGTCTTTCTGCTCCATGGACCACTCTAGCTTCCCCAGTCCTGGAAGAGGGCCAGGGTCCTGGTAGAGAAGTGAGGGGCTAGTGGGGTTGTGTTCTTACCCCATGGTGGGAAGGGTAGTCTCAAAGCCTGGGGTGCGAGCAGGTGGTGACAATAAATAGAAGTCATGGACCCAAGCAGAGAGTAGGAGGGTCTCAGACCAGCGCATCTCCAAATTTCACATGCCTGTGAATCACCAGGGATCTTGTTAAGATGCAGTTTCTGATTCAGTGGGTCTGAGGTGAAGCCTGAAATTCTGCATTTCTAACGAGCTTCCAGGTAATGTTGATTGATGTTAGTCTGGAAGGCCCACACTTTGAGTCGCCAGATGCTCTGTATTGTGTACCCCTCCACCCCTCGCCCCACCACACACACACTGAATCCTCTAAGGCAGATCGGGCAGGTGTTTTTCCCCAGTCTCCCAGGACAGGCTGCCTTTGGGTGAAGAACTGAATTCCTGCACCTTGGCTTTTATCCCCTTTTAAATCAGATCTTATCATCCTTCTACAAATGAAAGGGGAGCTTTTGCACATTGAGAACTTTGGAGAGAGGAAACAGACTAAATGGTGGAATTGCAGGGGTAAAGGATCTTAGTACTCTTCAATCCCCACCAACCCAGGAGGATGTTTACACTTGGGCTTGGGAGATCTCTCTTCCCCTTTCAGTCACACACCAGGAGCAGAAAGGAGAAGAGGCTGAGTTTATTACAGGGTGGGCTGTGTTAGGTCCACTCCTAAGCTCCCATCCCCATCTGAAATTATCAGTGGGACAGAGCAGGGTAAGGGAGGGCAGAGCTCTTACCAGATTTTAAAAGGATAAGAGGGGCCTGTGCCTTTAAGTCCTCCTTTCTCCCTCCAGTCCCCCCTCCTTCCCCACCCCTGGCCCTCCCCAGGTTTCTGGAGGAGCTGAGAGTTGCGTCTTCTCCCTGCCCTGCCGAGCTGCTCACTGGCTGCTCTGGAGGCTGTGCTTTGCGGTCTCCATGGAAACCATTAGTTGCTAAGCAACTGGAGCATCATCTGTGCTGAGCTCTCGCATCTAATTATCCCATCACAGCGGCCGAGAAGGGTTTGGGGAGCTGAGAGGAGGGGGAGGACAAGCACAGGAGCAAGAGGATAACTCTTTTAGCAGAGCAGATTCATTGACAACGCTGAAGCCATTTAAAGCCACAGCACCCTGTTCCTCTGGAGGATTTCCTCATGGCTTGGAGTAAAGAAACTAGGGCCACAAATGCCTGGAGTCTGTTTCTTGGACCCACTCTTTCTAGGCTGTCTCCCCCTTGGATTCTCGATTCTTAACTCACTCAAGTTCCCTCCCCTGCCTCCTTCCTTCCAAATCCCCTAATCAAGTCAACAAATATTTATTAAATAATAGGTATGTCCCTGGAACTGTGCTAGGCACCAGAGATATAAAGGCAGGGTAAGTTTCTGCCCTCAAGGAGCTCCTGAACTCTCTATTATGCCCCAAAGATTAGCTCCTAAAACAGACCTACTCTTTCTAAACTATGCTACTTTTTTTCTTTTCTTTCTTTGTTTCTTTTTTGTTTTTAATTGAACTATGGTAGTTTGCAACCAGATTGCAACTAGTTACTTGGATCATAACCCAGGTGTGTCTGATACATACACTGATGGTTCTCCTTCCACAACAAGCCACTCTTCTGCTTCCCCATCAGTGAGAAGAAATGTCCACTTGACTCCATGGACATGTCAACCTCTGATGGGGACTGTTGTCCTCCTGTTGATGAGTGATACTGTGTGACTTTAGGTGAGTTCCTTCGAACCTCAATTTTCTCACCTATAAAATGGGAAGACTCATTCCTTCCCATTTATCTAGCAAGATATAACAGATATAAAAATGCTTTAAAATAAAGGTGCATGGGAGGAGGGTATAGCTCAGTAGTAGAGCACATGCTTATCATGCATGAAGTCCTGGGTTCAATCCCCATCAAAAAAAATAGTAAAAAAAATAGATAAAATTTAAAATAAAATAAAATAAAGGTACAGAATGAATGTGGAGATCACATTCAGAATCTGTAGGAGCCAGTTGGGGCAGCCCTTATGACTCGGACTGAGAGGTGAGATGCAGTGTTCGCCAAATGTTGGTCCAATGGGAAATCTGTCCTTAAGATGTGAGGCTGGAAAAGGCTGCAAGAATAAGAAAATCTGAGTTGTTCAGTGTTGAAACACAACCGGATGCTTCTTTATTTTTTTGGAATGTTGCCTATGATACAACCACTTGCCCCACATCTTCTTCCACTGTTTTGACTTTGGCCAACTTATCTACCTCACTACTCTGAACTGCAGTTTCCTCTTCTGCAGAAAGGGTATAAAATCTGTCTCACCTGGATACTATCACTCAAGCTAATTTATTTAAGAGTGCCTAGCACAATATCTGGTTTGATAAATATTAATATAAGTAATTCATCTTATCCTCTCCTTTTTATTAACCCTTAGTGCAGATGAAGACTAGAGGCTCAGGGGCAATAAATAACTCTCCCAAGATTGCAGAGCTAGCAAGGAATGAAGTGGGATAGAATTCAGAATTTGTTTTTCCAACTGTATCATTGATGCAAAGGGAGATGGTTGGGCAGGAAAGGGATTCTGAGGGGGAAAAGTGACTGAGATGTGGACCAGCTGTTCCTTGTATACC